ATCAAAATTTATAGAGCTGTCAAAAAGGTTAATTTTGTTGATGAGATGGGTTGTGTATNTCAGGCAGATCTGAAAGTGGATGTTTCGTCCATGAGTATTGGAGATATATTTAGAGTGAGATTGTCTTTGAGTGCTGCTAATGCTTTGAGAGTGGATGTTATACCAACAGATGCAACAAAGCAAGTAACAACCACTGTCACCTTTATGACTCACATGGCTGTCAATCATTTCGAATAACCTTTATTAGAAATATTTAGAATAAATGCTATCGACTATTACTCTATTGGCAGCCATTATTCCTGGGCAGATACACTCCATTCCTGCTTTAGACGAACCCCACTCCATTCTAATCTTTGGAATTCGTGACTGTTCACATAAATCACTAATTCTTTGACAATTCTTCAAAATTTCAAAGAATTTGTCTTTGTAAACTTTGTTTTCTATTAATAATTTGTAGCAGTTTGGTAAACGTTTCATAATTGAGGAGTTAAACTTATCCCATGCCATGCTAATTTGCTGTCTTTCATCAACAGGTTCTAATTTGTAAACAGATTTTGATAGGAGAGAAATGAATAGTTCAGATTCGGAATCATTCTCATTTGGAATAATCTCAAGCATGTAATTAAAAATCATATCTTGATTTCTGGCAGATAAGTTAGTAATCTCATTAAGGATTAGTTCAGTTTTTGAATCAGTAACTTCCATTGATTCTCTATTTCTGAAAGAGGCCAGTTCCAATTCTAACTTTCGAATAAGTTCATCACTCTTGTTCTGCTTCTCTTCAAGCTCTCTGATTCTTCCCAACAGATCAACTTTTTCTTGTCTCAAAGTTTCGTTTTCAGAAAGAAGTTTCTCTTCAGCAATGGAATTCCTTCTCTTTTCCCTGTCTACAGTTTCTACGAATAAGTCTGATGTGCTAGCTTTAGTTTGCAATGTTTTTCTGTTATTTTGACTGATTGTATTCTCACAATTACTTGCTCCACTCACCATCTTATTAACTCTTGAGGAATTATTCGACATTTTGCAGTTTGTATCACCAAATCTATTCAGGCTACTGTTACTATTCTTTGAAGTGGTAGTGGATGTGGTTGTTAAAGATCTGCTATTGCTTATTGGCATTTTTTTGTATGGAGAAACAACTTGTAGTTGATTTTTTATTACAAAAGAAAGTAGACGAAATTAGTTTGCAACTGGGTGATTAGCAATTTCTTGATAGATTCCAGCTAAACTAGCAGAATCGTTTGCTCTCTTGAATTGACCTCTTCCTGTAGCTGCCATTTGTCTGAGACCAGTATTATCTGATGATCCACCAAGTTGAATTGTATGAAGAATAATATCATGAGATGAAACTAGTTGACCAGTAATACTAACGGCCTCATCTGCTGAATCTTCACCATCAGACATGAATAAGACAACAATTTTGTATGATTGATGGTTTGGATAAGTAGACGAAATTAAAGACGAAACTGATTGCATGGCATTGGTAAAGCTTGTTCCACCACCAGCAACGTAGGATGACATGGTGCTGACTAAACTTGTGGAAAGAGGATTTGTAGTGAAGCAATTATATGCAGAATGATCATACATGATACAAGAAACAAGATCACTTGATCCATCTCTAACCTCTAAGAACTTTTCACAAGATTCGAATAATGCTCCAAGTCTGTCATTACTGTACTTTGAGGAAGTTGGTCTTGCATCTGATCCTCCCATTGATCCTGACTTGTCATTGACAAAGATAAAGTGAAAAACTTCTGAAGAAATTTGTGGACCAGGTGGAGGTGCATTATTAATCAAATGTCTTTCAAAGTCAACTGATGCCTTAAAACTCTTTTTAGAAGTCAAGTCAATGGCATGTATTTCAATAGCACTTTTACCAAAGAACATTTCAACTTGAACAATTCTGTCCATGCCTCTTGTTCCCTTCATGTCAATAAGAATCTCACCACATTTCTTTACGAAACTTTCAGTGACAAATCTTGTGTTTGGAATTGGTGACAGGTACAATTCCAAAATCATTGATTCTTGACTCTCACTGGTTACACCATATTCTCTCACAACAACCTGATCATATCTAACTTCATCATTCACATCAACATAAATGTCAAAGCAATCTTTACAATATGGCTCATTTCTTCCTTTGAGTTTAATCTTTTTCTTTTCATCATGAACATTGGGAATGAATTTCTTGTAAGAGGTCACTCCATAACTTCTTCTCATTCTTCTGGTAACGATTAAGGATGGATCTCTTCCAAGCATGACAGCTCCCTTTACAATAGCTCCACCAGGGCTTGGAGGAACCACAACTTTACAAATTGGACTTTGGAACTTTTGAGTTAGTCTACTTTGTAGTACCTTTGATTCACCAAAACCACCCACTACAAATATATAGTTGAACTCCCTACTGGAATCGTTAAAATTATCTCTCATTTGAATTAGTTCTTTTTGGACATGACTTTCAATTTCAGTGAGAACGCCTTCGAATATTTTATCTAGACAATTGGTGGTAAGAATGATTCTTCCAAGTCTGAAATGAGTCTTGACTAGTTGATTGGTCAAATCTGCATGAGTGGTAAAGAATTCTTTAAGAAGGCCATCAATTTGAATAAACTGTTGAGTAGAGATGTTTTCAATGCTAACTTTCTTCTTCTCCCACAAACTCATCAATTCTTCAAATTGAGCTGGTTTGCTAATTTTCAATTCGTGCATAAAATCTTGACCAAATATATCTGACATTACTTGAATAAACTTGGCATCTAAATAGGAAGAACCACATGCACCA